TCTGCACCTATGCCTAGCTATATAGAGGTCCTGACATTTTCACTTGCATGAATGCCTCTATGCATCCTTTTGTATTGGCCTAGAGGTGTTTCCCAATAAAAGGAAATAACTAAGTAAGAAAGACTCAGCGAGAACTGTTTTTCCATTCCAGTTTTGTGTCATCATAATTTTGCTTATAAGAGTAGCACATGAGGGCTGAGTTTGTACAAAAGTCCTATATTAAAATAGTTAACATTCCTCTCCACAGAGATTTACCATTTTTTTTAATAAAAAAGTTATAGTTTCTTTCTGAACAGTTTTCATTTCAAACATCTTATATTAAAATAATGCAAATGCACACCACCAACAAAATCACAGAAGAGAAACAAGCTTAGCATCTCTGAAGAATAACAATGGTTATAACTTAAATTGCTTCAATGTTTTTACTCTTAACAATAAAATAATATTTACATATATATCATATATAAGAGAAACTATATTGCCCGGACAGGTAGGTATTGTGCTGGACTTATTTTGCCTCTTTCAAGTTACTGAAGAGAAGACTTCAGAACACAAATGCTGAATTTGGTTTATAATTTACGTTAGTGACATTTAAATGAGTATCTAACAGATATTGGGAAGAATACCTCAGTTTACCTGCCGATAACATTTAATTTAAGTGGATAGGAAGTGTATATATTGACACCAATGAGACCTGTGCAAGAGTATTTGTAAGCTCTTTTTTGTCAGATGAAGTGGTCCGCAACTGCAATTAGTTATGCAATCGCAAGTTCACCAGTTAAGTCATTAATTGTTTCTTGCAACATTACAAGTTTTTCATATACTTTCTCCTTCAAATGCTGCCCCAATCCAATCACTGTTTAATCAAGACTGGCCACAGACTGTTACATCTACAGTTTTATGGAGCATATGAAGGAAGGAACTCCATTTAGGAACAGTTCAACATCTTCTTTCGGTCTAGAAACAAAAGAAAAACTCCAATAGGCTATTACCTGTGCATCTGTAAAATGACTTCATCATCTGAAAAATTACTTTCAGAGAACATGTAAAATGCTGAATAAAACTAGCCGTATGTGCTTATATTTGGATTATTTGTGTGTGTTGGATTAAACCTTTCCTTAGGAAATACCTCACAACTTCATTGCCAAAATGTTTTATTTCCTTATAAGTTCAGTTGCGAAAACTTGATATTGAAATACTCTCAAGTATGCAAAATAGGTGACAGCCTCTGTTATCTGTAGTGTATTACAAAGATTTTAGGCTAATTAGGCAACACTACAAGTATATGATAGGAAAAACACTGTTGTTTCTTTCATTTACAAAATCACTGCACATCTTGTATTCTTTTTTCTCCAATGTATCTATACTAAGTAAAATGTATATATACTGGATATGAAACCCATGAACATTAACCCACAACATACTGTTATCTGTGTTTTATTCAAGTTGCTGCAGCTCTCTTTTCCCATTACCTTGGCTATAAGTGGAAGAAAGGATCAGAAGTTCAGTTCCTGTTTCTATTGCCATGCAGGATATAGCAGTAAAAACAAGTTAAACAACAGGCATGATTTTAGGGAAGCCATGCAGCAGTCTCTGGAACATTAAATAATTCAGGATACATGCAAATGGCACTAATAGACCTCTTCACTTGCAGCTGGTCAAAGCATGCAACTGAGTTATGTGAGCACAGCTGAATGGGACTTTATGGAAGGCCATGTAAGAAGGATGGTCCATAGTGCGAAGCTGCAACTGAGGAATGAGCACCTTAATGTAGGGCCTTTTGGCACACAGTGCCTCAGGCTGACACCTTCCCTGGCTGCTCTGCAACAGGCAGAACTGTGGTGTGCCTACTGCTTAGTTCAAATATGGGCCATCAGTGCACCATAGCTGATCTGCTGCCCCTTGCACTTACATCAAGAAACAGTAGAGAAATACCTGTGCTGCTCTGTGAATATGTGAAGAAGAGCATGACGCGGGAGGAACACAAAAATCAAATGAACAAGGCTCCCCAGTACAGAAAACTAGACAGGACACAGTCAGGACAAACCATATATTGTGCAGATCTTCTGGTCTTCTCCCACCTTCCCCAAAAAAGGGAGTCATCAAGGCTGCAGAGCTACTGTAGCCCTAACAACAGAGCTATGTGCAGCATGTTATTTATTACTCTTACGGTTTGCAACTAAAGGTTTAGAACACAAACTATGCTCCAGTTAATCTTTCTGGCACTTTTGTTGACAAAATTTCCTGCTACTTTTCCATTGAAATGTCTCAGTTCTGAGAATTCACGTTCTTAACCCAAATGATCTTCTAATATGTATTTTCTTCACTAATTGCAAAAGAAAGCTGTAACTGAAGAGATGAGGAGGGCAGACCTAAGTCACCACCAAACATTGATTCTGCATACAATACTATGCAAAATGACTTTTTCAGCTGCACCAGATAAAGTCAAAGACAACTTCCCTTTAACAGAATGCATTACTTCAGTAACATAATGCAGAGCCAGAGGACTGTAATCAATAGTACAAAGTCCAGTTGGAGGCCAGTTAATAACGTGGTAACCCAAGGTCAGTACTGGGGCCAATACTGTTTGAAATCTTCATTAAGGAGGTGGACAATGGAGAGAGTGCACCCTCAGCAAGTTCACAGATAATATGGAACAGGGAGTAGTGGCTGAAACACCACAGAGTTGTGATACCATTCAAAGAGGCCTGAAAAGGCTGAAGAATTGGGCTGAGAGGAATTAAATTATGTTCATCATGGGGAGAGATCCTGTGGAGCATGCTTTCCCCCTTTGGGGTGTCTGCCTTCCTGGCTGGGTGCTCATCAAGGCCAGACCCTGACACCCCTGTAATGTTGCAGGGGAATGGCTGTGACAGCCCCTGACATCACTGCTTTTCAGCAGCCACAGCCTCTGTGCCTGCACATTCTGTCCAGGGCTCTGGCAGCTGCACACACAAAGTAGGCAGGCTCCAGCAGGACCTTTGGCTTGCTGTGCCAGCTTTGGCATGGGGCACAGCAGAAGCTCTGGGAGCTGAGCTAAGGCAGCCCCTTCCAGCGCTCCTCTCCTTTCTGCCTGACCATGCAGTGCTGCCTGTCCTGGCACAATGAGAGTAAGGACATCAGCAGTGGTTGAAGATCCTATTGAGTTCCTGTCTTCCCTGACAGCCTCCTGCAGATACCCTGTGCTTACCTGGTGGTGCCTGGGGTAGAGCATGGGGGCTTGAGGATCTTGACTGTAGCAACTCTTCCCCCAGCGCCCTCCAACAGCTCACCAGAGCCTGCCCAGGCATCTCACCCAACCCAGCTTGAGCACTGGGGAGGTGCAGAGGAGATTGGGGCTTCCCCTCCTGCTCTACATCCCTCCCTCCTTGCATGCAGCCCATCTCCAAAGGGGGTGCAGAGATAAGGCACAGCCCAGCCCAGGCCACATCTCTCTGCCCTGCCCCAGGGCTGCAGCTGCTGCTTTCTGACTCACACGGAGAGCCCTCAGGAGGCCCTTACCTCCCTTCTCCCACAGCTTCCTTAGCTTTTCTACTCCTAGCACCAGGCAAGCTCTAGCACTCAGCAGGACATGACATCAGGTGTCAAGGAAGCCGTGGGAAAGATGCTGGAGTGATGGCGGCATGAGCCAGCCACCACAGGTAGGGCTAGTGTCAGACTCTTCCCAAGTGTTTGCATCACCATCCCTGGAAGTATTTAAAAGATGTGTAGATGTGGTGCTTAGGGATATGGTTCCACGGCAGACTTAGAAGAGATAGGTTTACATTTGCACTTGATGATCTTAATTTGGCCTGGTTTTCTATGATATCATGCTCTACAGCGTTCAGACAATAAGCCAGGCTCCTCCTATTAGAGTTGCACTCGCTTCATCTTCCATAATTCTTACAAGCACCAACTAAAGTACTCCCAGCTTCCTCCTCATCCATGTGCTATTGGATAGCAGGGAAACACATGCTGCAGTTATGCATTTATAAGTTTGCAGGCTTAGAAAATTGGGCACACACTGAGCTCATGCTGTCATGCAATGGAGGTACTGTGTTGGTTTGTTCTCTTCTGGGCACATTTATTTATTCTCATAAGTGACTGATCAGACTATCCATGAGACCCTTCTCCTCTGAGAAATTAGGCCAAAAGTGAAAGCTATCATGGAGAGCCTAATAGAACAGTGATTGCATGAGCCAATTTATTTAGAAAACCAGGTTAAAATAGTTGAAACGTGACCTAGCAGTTCACAGCATATTCAGAATTCTCTGAAAAGTACAAGAAATACCACAAAAGCCAAAGTAGACTCTACCCCCAGCAGGACAATAGCACAGATGGACAGATAAAAACATTTTGAAGAAACAGAAGATACAGTGGAGTCTTGAGTGGTAAAAAGTAGGTGTCTGTGATAGGTCTGTATTTAGACATACTTGATTTCTTATTAATGCTATGACTTCTGTTAACAGGAGTAATGGGCAATACACTCCACAGAGACTTCATTCCAGTACAGATAATGACTTGGCTGCAACAACTTGTAGAGTTGCAGGACCAAACTGCCTATGATACCCCAGAATTGCCCAAAACATTTGTTCAAGAAGTCACCATTCTTTGGTAAACTTCAGTCACGAAAAAACCATTATAATACATCTGATCTTTAAGGTACTAGATGCTCTGCACTAAGGGCATCATAAAGACTTCTTACAATTCCAAGATGAAGGCTGTGGGCAATAACGCACTTCTGGCACAACAAATCCCTCTATAA